CCTCAACCTCTTGAGTAACTAGGACTACAGGCATGTGCCACCACACATACACAGCTAATTTTTCTATTGTTTTATTGACAAGCTCTGGCTTTGTTGCCCTGGCTGGTTTCCAGCTCCTGGCCTCAAATGATCCTCTTGCTTTCATCTCCCAAAGTGCTGGCATTGCAGGTGTGAGTCAGTGCACCGGGTTAAACTCTTGAATTTGTACAAAACTTGAATTTGTAACTCAGAGATTGTGAAGAGTGATATTTCTGTCATGAGACATTCTATGCAAAATGTATGTTGTGATATGCGAATGAGAAGTACTGTTGCTTTCAATTTGGGTTACCTGAGTAAAGTTTCTTTTGGGAAAAGGGTAGCTTTGGAAGAGGAGAAAAGTTTGTCTCCTCCAATAGGAAAATGTGCATGGACATTCCTGTTGATGGTTACAGCTGATGTGTTGCCCTGGGCATGTTACCTTTAGCTTCCACTGTGGGACAAAGGCCACAGGATGGCAGGAGGCCATTTGGTGCTTGAGTTGGCAGGTGAGGAATCATCAGCTTGGTGGGTACTCAGGCCTGGTGCCTAGAGTCAGAGCAGCAACTTGGAATCTGATCAAGTCAAGGTACAGGCAGACCTTGACCTGACTCCTAGACATTGGGGTCAGCTGACCATGCCTGCTGACCATATTGGTGGGACTCCAGCTATGGGTTAGTGAAGTGAACCTGAAATAGGGTCACTGTGACCCAGAACACCAGATTGGCCCTGATGACTGGGGATCCAAACCTTGTGTCGAAGCTGGGCCCCAAAGCCGGAATCACGGGCTGCAGCTTCCATCTGCTCCTTGGCAGCTTGTCCCCATCTCGGGAGGTAGAAGGCACTAGCCCTTTGTCCCAGGCAATCTGAGCAGGAAGCTGCTCTTATCGTTGTATAAGTGGCCATTCTGAGGCACTAAGCAGAGCCCTGTGTTGGAATGGTGGGTACCCAGGCAGTATAGGACCTGAGCCATGAGAAGAGCTGGCCTGAATCCAGCTGGGTCTCCATCAAACTTCCCTGGAGGACTCCAGGCTGGGAGTTGAGGGGTGACTTTTCCTCTGTGATGCACTGAGTCTGAACCTGTATACAGGCTGCATCTTCCTGGGCTGCTGCTGAGTTTGTAAGGGCACTAGGTGTTTGTGTTTGTTGGTTTTGCTTTTTTTTTTCCCTAGCAACCTTCCCTACCCTATATGAGGACTGTTGGGGGGCAAGTGCCGCCTCTATCCATTTTGGTATCAAATATGGCTTCTCAGAGGAGGCTATGTTTGACCAGGATTCGCCACATTAAGAGTTTATCCAACATGAGCCTTTCCAGGAAGACAGGACAGCATGAACGAGGCATAGACAAGCCAGGAACATGGTGGGAGGAGCTCAGTGGGCTGGTTCGACTGAGTTTCGCTGACAAGGACTTGGCATTATTTTTTTTCTGTTCAGGGCTGGCCGGATTAGCTGGGTAAAGCCTGATGAGTGACCAGGGCCAACACCAGGAGTGGCAGAGGGGCCCAGCAGGTGGTCCAAGCAGAGATCTGAGACTGTGAGGCAAGCAGGTCTTCCTGGAAGGTGGGTCCACAGGTTGGGATTGGGGTCCTGGGACCGGACCACCCTCCAGGGGACGAGAGCATGAACATGAACAAGACAGAGTTCTATTATGTGATCTAGGTTTGAGATAGGGATGCTGGAAACTGGCTATCAGATGAGAAACTCTGATGTCTAAGAACCAGGAGCCTCTGAACAGCCTGAGGGCTTTTGCTCAGGTAGGACTAGCAGAACGCATGGCTAGCAGCTGAGGGGACTGGCATTGCTTTGCTACTTGCTGTCACCAGCCCCGCCTCCTCATGAGCAGGCCTGAGCCTGCAATGGGAGTGGATCAGAGTTCAGCGTGGATGCTGGTGAAGGCAGACGCAGGCAGCAGGAGGTGAGGCCTGAGAGGGGCGTGCTCAGGAGGGTCCCGGTTCTAAGCGTCAACTTTGATATTTGAGAAGTGAACAGATCTCCGAATATAGCCATGCATCACTTCATGATGGGGATCCATTCTGGGAGATGCACGTTTAGGCCATTTCATTGCTGTGTGAACTCAGCATAGTTACGCAAACCTAGGCGGTAAAGCCTATCACACACCAGGCTAAAATGTCTCAACTGTTGGCTCCTGGGCTACAGATCTGTACAGCTTGTTACTGCACTGACTATTGCAGACAGTTGCAATACAATGGTGAGTATGTGTGCATCTAAAACAGAAAAAGTACAGGAACACTAGGATACCATAATCTTACGGGACCACTGATAAATATGTGGTCTGCTCTTGACCCAAACATCACCATGTGGTGCACGACTGTAGCCCAATCAGGATTTCTAAATACTGAATGATAGTAAAACCCCCAAACAAATTTTTTATGGAGGTATGAAACCTTTGAGAAGATGGCAGAGCTGCCTGTGTGCATGTGTTCAAGCCACACTCTGCAGCATGGATGCAGTGAATTTCAGCTTCAGCAGCAGGCAGAGGTGTTTTGTTTCCAGGCCAGTGGTCTCTGCGCATTTGCCAGGGTGAGCTCCCTCATGCAGAACGCTGCTGGACCAGGCTGCCTCGGGGCCTGCCGCCAGCGTACCTGGAGCCTTTCTGACTTTGCGGTTGTGCACTTTGCTCTGTGTTCCTGCTGTGTTCCTGGATCTCTCCCTGGGGACATGACGTGGGGCCCATACTCGCCTTCTTTCAAATTCCCAAACGGTGCTTTATACTTCTTCCCAGGAGCACTGCTTAAGTGAGGGGTGGATGGATGCCAGGTTGTACTGCTTCTTGAGGACAGACCCAGCCAGCTGACCCTCCTGCTTCTTGTGACTGTCCTGTAGGGAATGGGCCTCAACCCCTAAGACAGGGTGTTTTGGCGCTCCATCAACACCACCTGGGCTTGACGGCTTATGCCTGGAGTCCTTCCAGTTGAAGGCTTCTGGCATACAATCAGCCATGTCTCTGTAACAAGGTCTTTGCTTTTAAAACTCAGAATCTTTTTCTCATTCTGCTTTCTGTGTACGTCTCCCTTGAGGTGAAGACGCTCCAGACAGAATGGGGACTTGGTAGGAGGAAGAAGGAGAGGAGTCCCATAACAACTACAGCAACACTGGTTATGGTAGCAAAAGAAAACCCCAAACAACACAGAATAAAACAAAAAACCTCACTGTGCCAAAAATACTTCTCAAAAACATGCCTTTTTATCATAAGACTGATTTTAACTTCTCAGGCGGCATTGCAAACCAATATTTTGTCTCAGCCTACTCTGAAGTTTTTCAAAGTTTTCTTTTTTTCTTTTTGCCAAACACACACATACACGCACACGCGCGCGCGCACACACACACACACACACACACACACACACACACACACACACACTCCCCTAAACCCTGACTCCCAGGCAGGTTAACTGTGGTCTAGTGCCTCAGAAAGCGATATATTTAAACCCAAGTCGACCTTTTCTTCATACAATAACCAGTCCATTTTTAGTTTTTGCATTGTATGCACAAAGGAAGCATTTGTGAGAGTTGCTTGTGTTTCTTACCTTACAAGTGGTATTTATACCACGGGTATGGAAAACATGATGAACTGGGGTCCTTCGCCTCTTTGAGAGCAGGAACTCGGCCTGACATCACCTGTCTCCCATTACCACTGACTTTTAAAGCGTACATTTTCACCTTAAAGTCTTGCTTTTGATAGCTGGGTCTGCAGACACCCTTTCTGCTTTGCCCTGAGTTCACTCTGTTTAAAAAATCTCTCCAAGCCAGGCTTGGTAGCTCAGCCTGTAATCCTGGGAGGGTGAGGTGAGTGGATTGCCTGAGCCCGTGGGTTCAAGACCCACCTCGGCAACTTGGCGAAACCTCATCTCTACGATAAATAAAAAAAATCAGCCAGGCGTGGTAGCATGTGCCTGTAATTCCGGCTACTCAGAAGGCTCAGGCGGAAGGATCGCTGGAGCCCAGCAGGTCGAGGCTGCAGCGGCCAGGAGTGGCCACTGCACTCCAGTCTGGGCGACTGAGTGAGACTCCAACTCAAAAAAAAAAAAAATCTCTCCATTGGTGGTTCCCAGGAAATGAATCCTCTACACCATGGCCTGCATGGGGGACTGTGGGAGAGCTCAGCTGTCAGTGTGCAACTTTCCCAGGAGTGGCTGGTATGCTTGATTTGAATGGTTCAGAAAGGTCAACTTTGGGCCAATGGCTGGAAAGTGCAGAGAGACAAACTGAAGCCTGGCATCCAGTCATACATCATAACAATGGATGATAGAAGGGAATGAGCCCGCCAGGCCTTGAGGAGGGTGGAGTTGCTGTGGGCTTGCCCTCAGCAGCAGAGCCGCTGGGTCTTTGAGGAAACATCTGCCTGTTTCACATTGCCTAATGCCTCATCAGGACACAGGCTGAAAATTGTAGCAGGCTTGTTCTAGCGTTGCCGTAAGAGTTGGATGAACTAATACTCATGCAACCCCTGGCACGGGGCTGGACTTTGAGGACAGGCTCAGTTTCTCCTCTCTTTCCCCCTTCCCCTTCCCTTCTTGTTCTAGTATCTGGCAGTGGTCCCCGCTCTGTTGGGTGGCGACTTGGCAGGTCTGTGGAAAAGGGAGCCATCTACGTGACGAGTGGGTGGACAAGTTATTATTTGTTAATTTTTAAAGAAACAAAAGCATTTCTTCAAAAGAAAGCTCATAAGGCAGGCAATCCAATATGTATGTAGCCCATGAGAACCCAAGCTGCTCTGGCGGGAGTTGCGGGGGAGGGGAGAGTAGCAGCCCTGGGGCCCGTCCTGCATGTCTGCACCCAAGGCAGCTCCTGAACACCCAGGACTCCTGTGTCCACGCTTTGAAAACCGCTGGGCAGGATCTTTTTAAATGTTTTCTTTAACATTCCTGAAATGCTTGGAAGTCTTTACAGAAAGTTTAGGGGAGGAAAAATACAACTTTGTAGGAAAGGACGGCAGAAGGCATGACCGTGACCGTGTGTTTCAGGTGTCTCCATGCGAGAGGTGCCGCTGTGAAGCCAATGGCGAGGTGCTGTGCACAGTGTCAGCATGTCCCCAGACGGAGTGCGTGGACCCCGTGTATGAGCCGGATCAGTGCTGCCCCATCTGCAAAAACGGTACGTGAGATGCCTGTTGGTGACAAGTGTGCCCCCCACCCCACCCCGCCCCACCCTCCACACTCCGTTTCATGATCGTTGGGACGTAAGCAGATATGTGAGTTTGAAGACGGGTATCCACACAGACACACACTCGTGTAATCTTTAGGGTGCTGTTCTGTGGCAAGGCATTGAGTCCCATGTTTAATGGATGTTGAGTTCTTTGGGGAGAAATTCAATTTCCACCTTTGAAGCGAGTCACTTATTTTAATTTAACTTTGTTTGCTCTCGCAAAGCTGTTTCTCTCTTTCCAAGACAAATCAAACACGCTGGTTGGGCTCATTTACTTTTCATTACTAAGTGAATTAAACTTGGAACATAATTGAATATTTTTCATAAGCAAATTAGGCAGGAAGAGAACCCCCTCTTATTCCCAGTGAGAGCCCCGGATAGATCAGAAGCCTTGCCTGCTTTATGAAAAAGAGACAGCAGGTGTCCTTGATCCTAATTTGTCAAGGAAGAGTGTTTCTTCATCCCAAAAAACAAGGATTACTCTGTACCTGAGGAACCGAGGGCGGATGTCATGCTTTAAGAGGGTTGTTGATGACAGACCGAGCCTGAGGATTATGGCTCCTATGGGCAATTTGACAAGAGGCTGAGCATAGCTTGGAAGAGAGCAGACTCGGGAGACAAGGCCACAGTCTGCAAGGATCTGAGTGTCTTTCCAGACAGAAGGAATTAGGCTTTCTGGACGTCACCCTGAGGCATGCTGTGAGGGACTCCCAGGTGGGAGCATTCAAGGCTAACTTCAGATGCTGTCAGCTGTTACCTGTGGGTTGCTGGATCGAGGCTCGATAACTGTGTGGTATGGGCTTTGTAAGTGGCTGGTAAGCTTGGGTGGAGTTACACAGGGGTATGCATAGTGTACAGACAATTTTGAGAATCCGTGTCACACCAATCAAAATTGTGGGGCCATGAGACTCCCCAGATACCTTCCACCTGCACATATCCAAATTTTACCAAAGCTCACTGTCAAGCTCTTTAGATAAATAAATGGAAGAGGAAATGAAGCTTCTGCTGAAGAAGGACAGTTTGTAAAGAATAAGATCATTGTATTAGGAACGTAATAATTATGGAGGCATGGCATGTTCAGTCCTCCGAATGTGCATGGACAGTGTCCAGAGAAAGATGACATAGAGTGTACTTTATACAGGGTTGGCTGTTCTTTTGTGTGTATTAATTACAAAGAAACCATGAGGTAGGGTTTTATTTTTGAGTATACAAATCATGTTCAAAAGTAAACGCAACATAAATATGGTATACTCACAGATTCGCAGTGTTTTAGTATTACAGTGATAGTTTGGGGAGATGATTATCACCCTGACAGTAACCTTGTAGATGTTCACCTTTTGTCTCTATACTTTGAGAGGCAATATGGACTATGGATTTTAAAGCTAGATTTATATTACAGAATAATTAGTATTGAAAGACTTAATTCGCCGGGCTCGGTGGCTCAGCCTGTAATCCCACGCCTTTGGGAGACTGAGGTGGGTGTATTGCCTGAGCCCGCGGATTCGAGACCCGCCTGGGCAGCGAGACCTCATCTCTACAGTAAATCAAAAAATCAGCCGGGCGTGGTAGCGCATGCCTGTAATTCCGGCTACTTGGAAGGCTGAGGCGGAAGGATCGCTGGAGCCCAGCAGAACGAGGCTGCGGTGGCCGGGAGCGGCCATTGCACTCCAGTCTGGGCAACAGAGTGAGACTCCAACTCAAAAAAAAAAAAAAGACTTAATTCAATTATATCAGAACATTGACAACTTCTCATTTTGGGGAATATAACTGGAAGTAAATTTAAATAAACTAATCACGAACATACTATTAAATTTTGTTTTACTCACCACATAGAACATGACTTTCAGCTGTCTCTAGTTATAGGGTATTCTGACCTTGACAGGGCAATTGGAGTATGAAATTCTTGGTTAAAAAAAAAAAAAGACTGCTTTACAAACGAAAACAGTTTCTATCAGAATGAGTGCTCTGTAATAATTGACTGAGATTAATGAATAATTTACAATAGTCCAACCTTGCCTTCCCACATAAACGATGTTGTAAAAAAATTCTAAGTCTGATATATCACAGTTTAGAGGACATCAAAAATGGATGCTTTATATGAAATTAAAAGCTTGGATAGACTTAGCTTGTATGAAATATGAAGGCTTTAACTCTTGATCTCTGTAGACCGGCCTTTACTCCTCACGCTGGCTTGTCTTGACCTGTAGCATTAAATAGCTCTTTCTCCGACAGAAGGAAAATTACAGTTCAGTTGCTAGCTGCCAAAGTCACTCGCATCAAGGGAGCAAAAGTTAGAAACCAAGAATGCCTTGAATATAAATAAATGATCACACATCAAACACAGCTTAATATATTCACTTTGTGGACGTGTGTAGATCAATCTCCCAAGGTTTTTCTTTTGATAAAATGGATGTTTGTGTGGCCCTGTTTGTTTGTTTTTTAAAAAAACTGTTTCCCTCACAATGGTACAAACAGTGAGGGATATCTGACTTACAAGAATTCAGCTCTTCTCTGTTGATGGGTGCACAGCACTATTCCATTCAAGCCTCTTAGTTTTAGACATGCTTGTCAGCATTAACTAGACACTAGTCTCCCATTAGTGATCAGAAGACCTCTACTCTGCAAGTGTGCATGTCAGCTTACTCTGCGAATGCAAAAGAGAACTGATAAAAGTGGGACATCGGTATTGAAATATGAGAGCTTTGTTGGAAATGGCTGTGCTTCTCAAAGGTAGAATGTGGTACTCTAAGGGAAAAATGATGTATACCAAATGCACAAAGACACTGGATATAAAGATTGTATAATTCCCTGAAGTATCACTGCCACTTGATTATTGTTATTTGCAGCTTTGTTTTCATAGGAAGGTAAATATGGCTTTTTTTTTTTTTTGGCAGGAAAATGAAAAATCTCTTGTGAAAAATTTAGGATAAACACTGAGACTTCAAATTTTATGGAAAATATGTGAGAAGCACTCACAGAGAATTAGGCAGGTTTTTTGTTTGTTTGTTTTCCTGTATATTTCAGAGAGAGAAGATAGAATTATAGTTAAACCTCATGTAGCAATTTGGACAAAACTGAATGCTTTGGGTGTGTGGGTGGGTGTATGTGATTTCTATCAAGATCCTCTCACAAAGAAAAGCTTGTTCCCATATGGCGTCACCATTATATCTCTTCAAAATTTTTACCAAAGAAATAACATTAATTTTACAGAAACACTGAACTACAAATCTACAGATGACATGATTGTGTCCATAAAATATAAAGGAATTAAAAAATATCAGAATTAATAGTTGATTTTAACAAGTTTGTTTGATGAGGTCAAATGTTTAAAAATCAGCTGTATTTCTATATACCAGAAACAAACAAATAGAAATACATGAAAAGCTACAGTTTCAAATAGCATACAAATTAAATACTTAGAAATAAATGTAACAAAATTATGCAAGATCTCCTCACTTAAAAATTATAAAGCTTCATTGAGAAAAATTAAAGAAAACCTAAGTAAATGGAGGGATATACCATGTTTATGATTTGGAAGACTCAATAATGTAAAGATGTCAATTTGCTTCAAAGTAACCTATTGATTCAGTACAATTCCATTCAAAAATCCAAAGACTGTAGAAATTATCAAACTGATTCTAGAATACAAATGGGAAAACAAAGGTTAAAGACTATTCCATGAAATATCCAAGAAGAAAAACAAAGCTGGGAAATGTATACTATAAGATATTAAGATTCATTGGAAGTCATAGTAATTAACACATTGTGGTATGTTCCCAAAGACAGACAGACTGACAAATGGAGCAGAACAGAGCCAGAAAAGGCTGAGTATATAAGATTACCAGCTGTATGACTATGCTGATACTATAGTATAGTGTGAAAAGGAGTGATTTTTCCAATGAAGGACGCTAGGCCAATTGAGTAGCAGTATGAATATTAAAGATATTGTGACTCTTATTTCACACTCTACCAAAAAAAAAAAAAAAATCAATTCCAAGTAGACTGTAGATTTAAATATGAAGGTTAAAACAATGATGATTTTAGATAAAAAATTTAAAAGAATATGCTGATGACCTTGAGTATGCAAAGATTTAAAGAACACTAAAAACACTAAGCATAAGGAAAGAATTCATATATTGAACTTTATTATTATTAAGAATCTATGTTCATCAATGACACTATTAAGCAAGTGCAATGCAGTCCATGTTTGGAGAAAATATATGCAATCCATATATTTAGCTAAAGTCTTAAATAGACATTCCATTACATAAAACACAGAGATAGAAAAGAGGGAAAAATATGATAGAGGATTCCCAACATTCTTGGTATGTCAGTGCCCTTTTCCTAATTTCTCTGGTCGGAGAGATGAGTTTTATCATTGAATTTTAGGTACTGGACTGCCATCATTATTTCCATGACATTGAATTTCGATGACAGGTCCTGTTCTTAGTTCAGACATGAGAGAAAAATTTTAAAATATAAAAAATAATTTCCGATTTTAATTTCTGATTTTAAAATGTAAAAAATAATTTCCAATTTTAGTGTTAACCTGAAGTACATTGTGATAAATTAAGATGCATCTTGTAATTTCTAGAACATTCACTAAGAAACCACATGAGCATATCAAATTAAAAAAGGTGACATATCAAATTAAAAATACATGTATGTATATATAAATTTTTAAAAGGCAATCAAGAAGAAACAAAGGAACCAAAATAGGAAACTGAGGAAACTGATGAAAAATATATATACACTAAAAAGAGCCCCAAAATACATGAAGTAAAGAGTGATAGAATTCAAAGGAGAAATATAAATTTAAATGATGAGAAATATAAATTTAAATGATAGTAGTTGAAAATTCTAATAAACTATTCAATAACTCATAGAAAATCTAGACAGCAGGAGCTCACATATAGAAGAGTTATCTGATACTGTTACCTAACTTAACC